TTTCTTAGTAGCTGCTACACCTTTGGCTGGTGAGGAAACTTCAGGAGTAATGATAGTGCAGTAGGTGATAAGGATACCATTGTTTCAATTTTCATCTGCTTATGAACCGTAGTGGCATACTCAGAGGTAATTTCTTTCAAGGCCCTAGCTTGACCTGAAGTGAGTTGTGCTGAGGGAATAATGTGGGCTCTCCATAGAAAAGGGAATGATGTGGTGCTCCTTAGCTACCTGGTTGGAGGATGGTCTTTGTGATGATCTGTGATCTGTGTCTGATTGAGAGTGGGAGGGGGGAGGACTCTTGCACCTCGAGGGACTGAGTTCAACCCATCTATGTCCTTCAGGGGCTTTGAGCCAATCTCCACATTGTCCTTCTTTGAGTGAGTTGCTTTTGATGTCACTAATGTGTTTCGTGCAGCTGCGATCAAGGTGACCGATCATTCCGCAGTAGTGACATAAATTTACCAACTTCTCATAGCGGAAGCTAACAGTAACTATCTGACCTCATACGGATATTAGCAATCCTAGGTATTGGTTCTAGGAGATTGTGTGTAAACCCTTAAAATTTTACCCTCATGATTGCCTGAACTAACAATGACCACATTGTCAACTGATTTGAAGATCTTGCCTACCTTCAAACCGACATCAATGCTTAGCCAATTAAGAGGGACATTCAGGACTTGCACCCATAAGTGAAGGTCATCAAAGGTTGGATGTTTACTTGAAATTTGCGGATTCCATTCTTGAAGAATTAAATACTGATTTTCGAAGCTCCAGTTTGTGCCACCAATCACCTTTTTCATGTCCTACTTGTCCTGGAAAATGAACTGAAAATAATTTGGCCTCAGCTCCTTAACTTCCATGGATTGAGACAACTTCCATATATTGCTCATTGTTCCTTTTATTCCATTCCAGCTGGCCTTTCGATCTCCGACTATCTTGCCAAAAAGGCTTCGCTGGGATTCATCTGCGCTCAGTCTAATATCCTCCTTAGCAATGTCATAGATTTCCTCCTCTGTGGGATAAGGAGAATTCTTGTAGACGGTTAGCTCAATCATCATCAGTAGTTGCAGTAAATCTATCTCTTATTACTGGTTTTGCAAAACCTTAATTTCGGTCAATAGGGGAAAAAGAGGAATAAACACACTGATAGGAATCACAAACAACAAAATGATGGAGATTTGAGGACAAACAACTAGAACGAACAAAGAAAGAGCAAGAAAAATCACTGAAACAAGATCAACAAAGAAACGGTCTCAACGAGAGAATGGGGAGCTCTCAACGAGAGAATTAAACGCAATGCTACATAACCGGATTAATTTGTTGGTTAACATAAATAACCAAAATATCCAACATAAATTATATTATTTAGTATAAAAAATGCGATTAGCATTTAAAATGTTTTATTTGATATTTTCTATTATTTTTTTGATTAAAAAAATTAGTATGTATGTAAATAAAATATTATGTGCAGTCTAACAGTTATTAAGGTGAAATTTGTTCAACAGTATGGTGCACGGTGTCGATCTATATTGTGCATAATGAAATATAAAATTTTGAACTGAAAATTTCGACATAACAGGATTAATTCGTCGGTTAACCTAAATAACCAAAATATCTGACATAAATCATATTATTTATTATAAAAAAGTGATTAATATTTAATACTTTTTTATTTGATGCTTTATATTTATTTTTTTAATTAAAATAAATTAGTATATATGTAAATAAAATATTATGTGCAATCTAACAGTTATTAAGGTGCAATTTGCTCAACACTATGGTGCACGGTGTCGATCTATATTGTGCATATTGGACCAAACGATATTTTTTTCCTAAAACAAATTAAAATTGAACATAATTAATTGGTTTTTTCAGTTCGGTTAACCGAATTATCCTAGATAATCGAAATATTTTTTTATTTATGTTATGATTATATTTAACATGTTAATAATTTAATTTATTTCTTTTATATGTTTTTTAGTTGGTTTGTTTCGATCGTTATGGTGCAATCTATCGATCATTAATGTGCATTTCATATAAAACTATTGTGCTATCACAAGACATTTATATTTAATGTGATTAAATACAATATATTGTGCATTTTTTTTTCAATTAATATGCGTTATTAAACTTTCTATAAATTATAAATTTGCCACATGTATCAAATTGAAATATAACAAAAAGTCATTAAATTGCAATCAAGTCTTTTAACCTCACCTAATTCTCAAAAAGGTTTTAATCCCAAAATGTCATCTTCTACCCTACCACCCGTCTTCTCCGGCAGCCTCTCCGGCCGGCGACTTCCGGCGTCGATGCATACTCCGGTCGGTGACTTCCGGCGAGTTTCAATTTTTTTTTAATGCCGCCATTGAAGCTCGACCGTATGGCGACGCCTAGGCCGTCGGGCAGACACGATTCCAGCGAGAGTCGAGGAGGCGTTGAGTTGCGGGCGACTGGGAACGGTGCGAGCGATGGAGGACAGCGCGGGCGACGAGGATGACGCGGACAATGGGGGATGGCGCGGTCGACGGGGAAGACGCCGACGACGGGGACGACGCAGTTGACGGGTGATGGTGCAAGCGAAGGGCGACAGAGCACAGTCGATCGTCACCGCAGAGAGATTCTACGCGGAGGTCAGCTGGCGGGGGCGACGATGCTCCGACGGTGGTGTGTGAGTGAGACTCCGGTGGTGGCGGGATGTGAGCGGCGGCCGTGGCTGTGGTGAACGATGATGGCCGGACATGAAGTGTTTTTGTGTGTGATAATTGTGTGTGTGCCGAGTGTGTGTGACTGTGTGTGTTAGAGTGTCTACGAGAGAGAGAGAGAGAGAGCCAAGAGAGAGATAGTGACGTGGAAAGGGGATGATATTGGTTGGGGTGTGTTGTTTGATTTATGGTGAGGCCCACATGTTATTAATTATTTGTGTATGTTGTAATTACCAATTTATCCTTAATGCGTGTGAAAAATAAGCATTTATTTTACCCATTAGATCATCTGATCTAATGCCTACGATTTATTTTTATTTCTTTCATCCGATATATATATATACATACATACATATATATATATATATATATCAAATCAAATTAAATAGAAAATAAGAACATAAACTATAAGAGATTTTCATAATCCCGAACATCCTTTTTATTATGTACATTTAACTAAAAAACGAGTATATCCCAAAATAACATTGGGATTCTCAAATCTCAACAGTCGGAAACATAAGATTTATGAAAAAATGTGTATATTCCAATATATTGTTGGATTCGAAAATCCCAACAATTTTATAATTGTTAAACATCTGAAATTGTTAATATTAACATATCGGATTAAAAAAATAAGGACATAAAATATTTTTTGGAACCTCAAATCCTAACATTTCTTTATACCATTTAAAAAAATAATATACTTAAGAGATAAAAATATAATATTATTGGAATAATTTTATAACCACCAAAATTCAAAAAAATCAAGTCGTGGGATATTCTTGGGATATGATCTGATTTCCCCAAAATGGGCAAAAAATTCAAATCAATTAATAAGCCTATATTCATGTAAATGCACATTTTAAAAAATAAAAAATAAGTACAAATATATGCAACATAAAATCATCTGTAAATAAGCTTACATCCGCGGTCATATGAACTACAATACTCACAAAAAAATATTCACGCGTTCAAAATAAAGTCAAGGATCAACCTTTTGGCCTAATCAAGGATCTTAAAAGAAAAACGAAGGTCATCTTGAAACTTCCAACAACATCTTTAATATGACGTTTGATACTTCTTACCGAAGTTATTTGGAAATAGTTTTCCACGAAGTGAGGTTAGTATTCTTGATTTAATAGTATTTGTCAATTTATTATATATTTTTTTTTTTTGAAAATTTTATTTTTGTATGGCGATTTTTATAGGATGGCAGCATAATTGAATTAATTTGTGGCGTTAACATTCCAAAGATGAGTGACAAGTTTGAGGAGAGTGGAGCATATGTCATTCGCAATTACCAATTAAAAAGTAACATTGGTAAATACCGATATCGCAAAGTTCAAACTCATTATTCATGGGAAGACCAAAGTGTTGGAGTATCTAGACATGGCCAAGGGTCGACCCGGCCCGGTAAAGCCGATTTTTGAACCAGCCCAGAACCCCTTAAGGGCCGGTTCAGGTCGTGTTTTATTCCTTTTTTACCCGTCGGGCCGGGCTGGTCCCGGGTCGGAAGACGGGTCGTAGTTGTTTTTTTCTTATCTTTTTTAAAACTAGCGATTCAACGAACCGCCGGGTCGGGCCGATTCATTTGAACTGGCCCTTAGATATAGTCGGCCGATTTCGGGCCCAACATTTGTGGCCAGCCAGCCTGGCGGACCAGGCAGGGTCGTGAACCGGCCCGACCTTTGAACACGTCTAGGAGTATCTTATCGATTTTTCAACATTTTATTTTTAACTTCCGTAATTTTGCTACCCCGCATGATGTTGACCATGTAGATTTTCAAAAACAGATGATTGTATTTTCAATTTTATTTTCAATATATAGACAAACATGTGATTGTATTTCATTCTAATTCTCTATGTTATGTTGTTATTGTATATCCTATTATATAAAATTATAATCATCACTGAATATTATTTTTTCGCGCATCACATGAGTTATGCGCTAATATCCAATAACAACATAGTATAAGAATAAAATGGGCTACAGTTAAAAACTTAAAATAGACGACCGATGGAAACTTATCAACTAGAACTAGAACATAGGTAGAGGTGAAATTTAAATTTCACACACTCGATAGGTGAAATTTACCTTTTAAATGATCATGAACAGACCAGGAGTAAATTGGATTTTAATCCATTCACCTCAATCAACTCCACCACACTCCAATTTACACTCAAATAAAATAAAAACCACACTATTAAACACAACAACCTAACCTTTCTCATCACATCAAACCTATTCTAATCAAATCACACTAAACAAACAAAACAATAAACANAAAACCCAAACTAATTCAAACCGCCATTCCTTTTCCTTCTACACCTGCTAAAGCCTCTTGAAGGAGGCGAAGGTGAGAACTCAAACGGCAACTGTGGAACCTCCATTTCTCCCTTCAAAACCCTTACAACATCCCCAATATCCGGTCTCAACTCAGGCATCTTCTGCAAGCATGCGAGAGCCAAATTAATACACAAGCCTGCTTCCTCCTTGTTGTACTCATCCTTTAACCGCTCATCAACAAGCTCGAGTATATTCCCCGAGTAGGCCAAACTCCTGGCCCAGCTAATCAAGTTGGCCTTCTCCAGACTCATAGGCGAGCCCAATACATGCAGAGGCCTTCTCCCAGAAACAACAACAAGAATCAAGACACCTAAACTATAAATATCAGCCTTTTCCATCAAATAGCCATAACCATTGTACTCGGGCGCCACATAGCACAATGTGCCTCTCATACTAGTCGTGCTACTCAACTCCCGACTAAAAACATCCCCACTCCACATCTCTTTCTTTTTCCGACCTTCTTCATCATTCTTGTTTTCTTGACTCGTTCTTGTGAACGAGAAGCACTTGCCCAAACCGAAATGAGGCCGAATGTTTACTTTTCTCGTATATTTACTCTTCTTACGGATTTCGTCTAAATTTTCTTCCTTCCACCACTCGTGCATCTTCCGGTGATTGTGAGAACAAGCTTTTTTACACCTATTTGGATTTTCCTTCTCCATGCCACGACTAAGGCACCCGAATCTTGATTCTTGCCTAAAATTCTCCTTTTCCTTGTGTTTTTCCGTTTTTGTACCCTTTTTCGAGCCCCCTTTTTCCTCCTCCCACTCGGGAATATCTGGATCGGGGCAAATTTGACTCCCAATCCACTCTTTCACATAGTCCTTGCTACTCAATTCCTCACTTCCATCTTGTCTCCACCACCAATCCTTTCCCCATTGTTTGCTACTAATGTTTTCGCCGGCATTTAAACTCAACTCCTTACTATGATCCGCACTATTCAACTCTTGGTCATAACAAGGAACAAATTCCTTCCCTTTTAAATTGCTATTTTCACACTCGGAACTAAAATTGAAATTCTTCACCAGCCCCATCGCGCTATGGTGAATTTTGGAACTATTTTTCGAAGAATTAGAAGCTTGAAGAGCTAGGGCGAAATCCACCTCGTCATTTTCTTGATCCTCTTGAGGGGTCTCGTTTTCGACCGCATTCAAATTTCCAGAAAGCTCTTGGCTGAACAAATCCAACCCGATTTCGCCTTCAAGCTTCAATCTCGACAAGCCGAAATCTGAAAGCTTGGCCCTAAAATTAGAGTCGAGCAACACATTGCTCGGCTTCACATCACCATGGATCACTGGAGGCTCACACTCAAGATGCAAGAAAGCCAATGCTTTGGCAACATCAAGAATTATACTAAACCTTATACCCCAATTCAAATAGCCCGAACCAAAATCACCACAAACGCCAACTTCACTATAACTATTTGAATCATCCATGAAGAGAGACTCTTGCAAGCTTCTGTTAGACATATACTCAAACACCAGGAGCCTATTACCTTTCTCCACACAAAAACCCAGTAAAGTAACAATTAAAGGGCAGGATTTTAACCCGCCCAGAATTTTCAACTCGTTTTGAAACTCTTGCTCGCTCTGAAGCAAATTGGAGTCGAGGAGTTTCACGGCCACCAACTTACCGTCGCGCAAGATGCCTCGGAAGACTGTGCCCGACCCGCCTTTGCCTATGGAGTTGGAGACGCTGAAATTATTGGTGGCGCTCTTTAGTTCTTTGTAGCTGAATTTCTGGAGCTTGTTTAATGGCGGGCCGGCGTCAAATGGACTGGTCCTCCATTTGTGGACTAATGAGTACCAGAGAGAGTAGAGGAAATACACAAGTGCGAAGAGGATTATGAGAGAGGCTGAAATCGCGATTGCAAGGAAAATTATGCTCATTCGTGGTCTTTGCTTTTGTGGGAATGGCTGTCTTGAAGCCATTCTNTTCCTTCTTCCTTCCTCTGCTGTGTTTGAAAATTGGTGGAGCAGAGAACAAAATAAAGGTGGTAAAGAGCATCACCAAGAAAATTGCAATAATGGTCCCATGACACTTTCATTTGTCTAAAAGTAGTGCCAATACTGCAGTTTTAGTTACATAGAAAATTATATTACAGTTTTTATCCTATAAAAGTTCACTTTTGCGGTTTTAATCTCATTGATACAACTTACAAGATCAATGTTGCATAAATTGGTCACCCTTTAATTTATTCAATCCGTTGCCGTTTAAGGGGAACTAGAATGGTACATGTGTACATAGAAACTTGAAAATTAAATATTACTCTCTCTTATTCATAGTAAGTGTCGTTTTAAGAAGTAGCACAGTAATTAAGGATATTTTTTTTGTCAATAATAACCCTCTTTAATGAAGATAGAGAATAATGTTTTGGAAAAAAATGAAGAGTGAATATGAAAAGACGTAGTGTATTTATTAGCTAAATGAGGGTAATAATAGAAAAATATGTACAAAAGATCCAAAACGACATTTATTTGGATAATAGTTGATAAAACCAAAATGACATTTAAAAAGAATAGGAGGTAGTATATAATCAAAAGTGAAATTAACTAAAAAATATTTATTCTTATTGTTAAATTATAAAAAGTAAATATACAATATATAATAAATAACTAAAAGGGTAACAATTATTTAAATTGATATGTGTTTTAAACATAATTTGTCAATAATAATAATTATTTTCATTATATTTTTAAAATTCAAAAATTCTATGGACCCATCGGAGGGTTTTCTTATGGAGCGATCCACTATTTAATCTATTGACATATGTCCAAATTGTATTTATTGTAGGATACGTATCAATATACTATTTGTGAATAAGTGTGGATGTCTCCATAAAACGAGTCATCCGATGGCTCCATACAAAACTGAAATAAAATTATGTATATCTAAAATAAACGTTATGTACCACTCTACATTTAATGTTGAATGTATTAAAATGCTTTTT